CAAGTAAACACATTGAATAAACCGAAGTAGAAAGACTGAAATAGTATTTTCTTGAAAAAACATTTCTTTATCCTTTTTTTTGTACTACTTCAAAAAAGGTTACCTTAAACAGTGCGTAAGTTCACTTTTGAGATGCTGATGTCTTTTTCCACGGATGTAAGACCACATTAGAGTGGTATAACTGGTCAGTTCAGTCGAAACTCAAACAGTGAACTTGGTTCACCTATTTTAGAAGTGTGTTTGTGAGAAACTGCATTTATCTCTTCATATTAGTTGAACACTTAACCCTCCTGGGCCTCCTAACAGCAGGCCTCTCAATGAACATGAGTGGTGTGACAGCATATTATTGACACTCTCCAGATGTTTGGTCAATAAATGGTTTCAATTACCTTGGGTCATTTCAAGTAAAGACTGTATTGTTTCTCATAATAATCCCATAGGGGCCGAACTGATGGTGAACAGAATGTCTCAGCTGTGTTGAATATTTACAGTAAACATCTTACCTGTTTCCTGCTCATAAAAAGCTGAGACTGTGGGATGATTTGCACTGTATTTGACCCCTGAATTGATCATTTAGAGTTGATATTGAAACAAACAGCCTTTAATAGAATCTACTGTTGTTATTGTTAACTAAACCTACTTATTCGATTTCAGTAATTGAAAAAAGCTGAAATAAAATAAATATTAGATGAAGTACTTATAAAGCTATAACAAAAAATAAAAAAATAAAGCTATATAGATATATTTAAAAGAACAAAAATTTGGTAGATAATAAAAAATTACATAACAAATAGTAAAACAACACTGCTAGATTCTATATTTGAATGTATTTTATGAAGAAAACAATGGTAGATACAGCAGTAAGTGCACAGTATTCCTTTGTCTGATAACAAAAGCAGGTAATGTGTGACAATGGTCATGTTTTATCTTCTGGACCCTTTCATAATGATGCTTGTGTATAATGACAAATTTACAAACAAAAAGTCAGGAAAAGTATTATTATTAGTGTGTTCATGGAAAACATGAAAATCATCAGTAAATGTAACGATACTTATAAAGTTTAATACTTATTCTAATTCTATGAGGATACCACAGCAGTAACGTTAACAGCGCAGATTATATAATTGAAATCAATTGCATAATGTTTTTTTTTTAAAGCTGATGAACAGCAATTCTTAATCTATCCTGCTTTAAAGAGCTTGAGAATTTCAAATGGCAGACAACATAACTGCAGCGTGCGCTTAGAATAAACATGTTATTGTGCTTTGGTCTGAACTCTATAGTAACTGTTCTTGGTGTGAATGGGACACAAGTTGTAAAAACAAATAGAACTCATTAAAAATGTAACGATACTTATAAAGTTTAATACTTATTCTAATTCTATGAGGATACCACAGCAGTAACGTTAACAGCGCAGATTATATAATTGAAATCAATTGCATAACGTTTTTTTTTTAAAGCTGATGAACAGCAATTCTTAATCTATCCTGCTTTAAAGAGCTTGAGAATTTCAAATGGCAGACAACATAACTGCAGCGTGCGCTTAGAATAAACATGTTATTGTGCTTTGGTCTGAACTCTATAGTAACTGTTCTTGGTGTGAATGGGACACAAGTTGTAAAAACAAATAGAACTCATTATAATCAATGATGCTGTCTACAACAGATGTGCCGCATATAGCGCCAATTCTATTTCTAATACAATATGCGTGCTTACATTACTTGCGACAACAAAACAAATAGATTTGGAACATTCATTTTGACGCATCTAGTGTAGACAGCCGTTGCATAGAGTCAGCAGACGTGCCTGGTGTAGACATAGTGTTAAGGTGCGGTAACATTAGCACTGATAAAGGTCAATGTATTTAGAATAGCAAGTTAGGGATCACTGGCCACGCAGAAGCAGCTTTATGTTGGTCAGCACGACAAATTAGAATGACTGAAATCTCTGTGGATGAAACATTTTCTTCCTCCTGTTGAATCTTCCAATCACACGGATTCCTATTGAAATGACTGTATTTCGTCCACGAGAAAATAAATGTACCTTTACTGGTGAGTAGCTCATCCTCTCTTCAAACCATCCTAGGGTCATCATGGTGACCTGACCAGGCAAGCTGTTTTTATTTCACTTACTGACATTAATAAAAAAATAATAATAATTTGATCACCATCTGTTCTAAAGAAAACAGAAGGACATGCTGAAGTGAAGTCTAAAATATTACAACACTGATGTCACTGATGGATGTGGTTTTGTTTTGGCCTGTTGCAAGTTAAGTACTAATTTGAGCCTCTTTGAGAAAAGAAGTGAAAAAAAGCAGCGAGAACTAACTGTAATGAATAACATCTGTGTCCACTGGGCCTAAAATCATTATTCATTAGCCACTAAAGGTAAATAACTAGTATAATATAGTTCAGTAAACGATATAACTGTGTGTTTATGATTCCAAAAATAAATATGATAACATTTTTTATGTGCATACATCATCCGCCCGGAACTGCTTCCGTTTACAACAGTGAGCGCAAGCTAGATTAAAGTGATTATTACATTTTGAATATGGATATTTTTCTTACAAAATCGCATTGTTTCGCTACAGAAGGCCTTTGTTCACCCCCCGGAGCAGTGTGAGACACTTTTTTTTATGGATGGGCACTTTATATTTCACTTTTTTTGGACTGAAGCACTGCAACACCCGCTGACTGCAATGATAGAGCTTGGAATAGCCAGGACAATTTTTAATCTAACTCCGACTGGATTTGTCTGAAAGAAGAAAGTCATACACACCTAGGATGGCTCTGGGGTGAGTAAAACACGGCCTAATTTTTATTTTTGGGTGAACTAACCCATAAGGTGGGGTTGACAGTTTTAAAAACAAAAAATAAAATTTTTAAATCAACTCTAAACAAAACTGGAAGCCAGTGGAGGGAATAGAGAATTGGGGTGATGTGCTCACGTCTGCGTGTAGTTTAATTAATCTCTGTTAAGACTGAGAATATCTGGTTTTCTGTGTTTCACATTTAAATAAACAGAAAAGATCTAGCTAGTGACAGCAGCTGTTAGTGGCTCATATAGATTTAAAACTCCAGTGTGGGATGAAAAACTATGTGATATGTATGTGTGTACATTCACTCTTCTGACACTGAGGGCCCACAGATGGCCAGTTCATTGGGTTGAGATGGATATGAGTGCACTGCTTCAATGATTAAATTAGATCAGCTTCCTGTTGTGCTACTGAGAGAATCATATTCAATTGTAACGAAACAATGAGCAGCCTTTCAGGACTAATGACTGAAGAAGTACTGTAACATGTATTGGGCCAGTGTGTGTGTGTTGTGGTCAGGTGTTTTTAGACTGCACTGTGAAGATTGTGTGCGATTTCATTAGCACCACTGCCTTTCTTTCTCCAGGCCAATGAGAACAGTTCTGACACTTAGAACAGTTACATTACAAGAGGCAGCAGCCAGAAATGGCAGATACACAAAATATTAAGCAGCACAACTGTTTGTAACTTTGATGATAAGACAAATTGTTTCTTGAGCACCAAAATCAGCATTAGAATGATTTCTGAAGGATCACGTGACACTGAAGACTGGAGTAATGGCCGCTGAAAATTCAGCTTTGCCATCACAGATATAAATGACATTTTAAAATTGATTCAAATGGAAAGCAGTGATTTTATATTGTAATAATATTTAACAATATTATTGTTTTTTTTACTGTTTTTGATCAAATAATGCAGCCTTGGCGAACACGGGATTTCTTTCAAAAATGTTACAAAAAATCTTAATGACACCAAATTTTTGAACAGTATATATATGTATAATATACTGCATTAATTTTAAAGATTAAGTTAAAGATGAACTTTTCATTGTTCTTTTGTAGAATTCTTTTAAGATTTTCATAAGCATTTTTACAAGTTACAGAGCTCAAAAGATACTTAAACTTTAACCCAGGGTATATCTGTAATTTACTTTCTTTCACATGTGTGTAGACATTGTTTATCAGTGTTGATTATCAGCACATTAATGTGATTGTATGCCGAACAACTCAACACACAATTACGATCTAAATTAACCATAACTTACCAAAATGTGATTAATGATTTCAATTCTTAAGGCAAACAGAAAAAGATGATTAAAATATATATATAAAAAAAAAATATATATATATATATATATTATGAATCACAACCTGACTTTTGATGGAAAGACACCAGCACTCTTTATTCCGTTAATAACCTTAGCCATAAAAAGAAATGAGAAATAACGGCTCCACATTCTGTACATAACTGAAGCTCATTTCCGATGTAAAAAGCTAGTGTCATTTGTTAGAAACAGGATGCGTGCACTTTCAGAGCGTGGTTAAACTGCACACCACAAATGTGGTTCGCTGCTTTAGTTGTCGTGCAAACTGTGGATTTGGAAATCTACAACCATTCTCTCAGACTACAAGTATTGTCTGACTGTATAGATGATTATTTTACCTTCATTCAAGTTTTCCCTCCCTGAATTGTTTTCATGCTTTTACAATATCTGCTACTATGGTGTAAGGTTTACAAGGAGGTCATTTTCAAGATCACGGTTTATAACACAATGCCATATTTAATTTCTTGCACATTCGCAAAACGTTTAAAAATATACAGTGGTGTGAAAAAGTGTTGGCCCCCTTCCTGATTTCTTATTTTGTTTGCATGTTTGTCACACTTTAATGTTTCAGATCATCAAACAAATTTAAATATTAGTCAAAATAACACAAGTGAATAATCAGACCTGAGTGCGGCTAGAGTTGTGATAAACCACAGTTTTAACAGGGGGGCAAACACTTCTTCACACAGGGCCATGTAGTTTTGAATTTTGTTTTCCCTTAATAATAAAAACCTTCATTTAAAAACTTCATGTTGTGTTTACTTGTGTTATCTTTGACTAATATTTAAATTTGTTTGATGATCTGAAACATTAAAGTGTGACAAACATGCAAAAAAATAAGAAATCAGGAAGTACTGTACACTTTTTCACACCACTGTATATAGCACTACTAGTCAGTTTAACTCAGTGACTCCACTTACGCCAATGCTGCAGAATAGATGTAAGTTGTATTTTGATCAAATGAAGAAGAATGAATCATACAGACCACAGTCCAAAACAGAGACAGTGTCATATAGATCCATTGTGCGCTGATACAGCATTTACACTCACATTCTCACTTCTTATGTACCTAGACAGTAAGACACCAAATGTAACTCTCATAGGTCTCACTTCCTCTTAACTCTACCTGTTCAGTCTTTGCATTTTGGTTATGATCCTCTTGTGTGTGTCCTTTCTCTGACTGATCGGTCCAGCTTTCTCTCATTTGAGTCTCCATGCAAATGGATCAATGGAAAGTTGACTTGTTGTTCCATCCAGTGGGCTACTGTCAACAGCTTCCAGTCCTGTAGTGCCTGACCAATCAGCTGCAGGCTGATGGGAAGACCTCTGCGTGAGAGGGCTGTTGGTACCGTGACAGCAGGCAAACCTGTGTGTGAAGATCATGTACTGTAAATACACTGAATCCCAAATACACACATACATAGGATTTATTTTGGCTTAGAAAAGATTAGAAAAAGATGAATGTATTTTTTTTTGTCGGTCGGTTCATTGATCCATTAAAACTCAATTGTGAATTTGTTTATACTGCTTCAGGAAAAGACCCTACTCAGAGGGTCACATTTAGCTGGAGGTCTCATGCCCTTCTTGGTTGTTGTTGCCACGCAAAACTCCCCGACTGACCTCAGTAAGGTTATTTCGCCAGTCAAATCAGGTGATACAAATCACATTTGCACAGGTAAACCAGATTAGCCTTCAAGGACATGCAAAGGATGCACCTCTATGGAACCTTCTTGGAATTAAGCAGAGTAATTTCTCTCTCAAATCCACTTCCTGTGCATACCTGCCATGTTGACAGGCTGGGTGAAGACATCCTCCTGAGCACTGCGCGTTCGGTTGTCTTCCTGTATGAAGTCAGTGTAGCGCGCCGCATCGCTCAGCGTTGTGGGTGTCAGGAGAACGTCAATGCCAGAGCGGAACACATTTTTAAACTCTTCAGCAATAAGACGCCGCATTTGTTGAGCCTTCACAAAGTAACGCTCGTAGTTTCTGAAAAGACAGGGAGTGTAATGTGAAGATTTGAAACGCTGAGCTCTGTAACACCTCTATGAGAGCAAAACCAAGACACAGCTGCGTAAAAACACACGACTGCACTGTAGGGTTAAATTTACACCGAAATCTTTGCAAATTGAAGATAATGTGAACAGATCATGATAAAATTTTGGAAGTGCTACTTGTTTTTAGTAAAAAAAAAAAAAAAGGTATATAAATAAATAAATACAATACAAAACAGTGCAACCCTACAGCTTTAGCTTCAAACTTTGGCATATTGTAATTTCTGTGTAAGTGATAGACATTTATTTTTAGCAGACAATTTCTTACCCAAATTACTTGAAGAAAGTGCATGTCATGTGCTACAATAACTTCTTCAGGTATCTAAGGCTAAATATCTAAAAGGGGTGAGAACCAGAAGGGTATAAGTGACATTTCACCAACTTTACAGGAGGGCCAAAACAAAAATTTACCATAGTTTGATCTGACTTTGTGTACTGATTTCAATTGTTTATAATAAAAATTTGTACACACATGGATGACAGTCTACTTATTGAACACTATTTTAACATTTATTCAGAAAAAAATTATAATTTTGTTTTGGCACCAATGTTTTATTCCATTTCATGTATAAAAACGAGCACATCTGATGACAATATGAAGAAAGCATTACATTAATGAGTTTAAAACAAATAATCTAATTGTGATAAAATGAAAAATCACGTAAAAAGTCCTAATATTAAATTAGTTAAATGAATGTGATTAATTTTACTAAAATAGTAATCCCAGCCTGCCACTTAACTATTTGGCCAATGGGTGATTGAAAAGCCTTTACAGATGCCTTCCCTAGTGAAAAATAAATATACAAAAATGTATTTGAAATACATTTATTTCATGCTAAGTATACTACAAATACATTTACATATTATTAAACTGGTATACTTAAGGTCTGCTAAACTGGAACAACTAATTTTGTACTTAATGCACTTTAATTGTAAGAAAGTAGTGCTGACGTCCAACTAAAGATATACTGATATACTTTTAGGCTTAATATTGAGAAATGTCCATTGTGCACAAGTAGCACTCCAAATAAAGTTGAATTAGCCTATAATTTTTATATTGATATAAGTATAGAGTGATATGTCAGTAAACAGACAATGAATAAAGCAAATAAAATGTTAATAGATTTGAACTAGTATGAAATAAATGTACTTTTAATACACTATATTACTATTTTTCTAGGGTTTGTAATAAAAATATGATAGCAAATAGCTGAATGATACTGAAGCAATGAATTGCATAACTAATTGTTAGTAACAATAATAATAATAATCCCTTCTCTGCATTCTCTCTCTTGTGGCTAAGCAGTAACAGAGTGCCTATATGATATACCATTAAAATGTAAGTTATATTATAGGTTACTACCTGCTAGCTAGCTAAACCTCACTGACATTGAATACTGGATATTTTAATTTTCTCCATCATCCAGTTCTTTGTCACAAAATAAGCTTAATAATACATCTTCAGTGGTTAAAAACTGCAGTCTTCTCATGGTTGACCTACCAGGCTTACTTGTTGCGTCAGCCATTTTGACTCATGTGCTAGCCACCGGCTTTATGCAGGTTTCACACTGGACGCGCAAGCAGAACAGAGGCAAGCCAGCGCAGAAGCGGCGCGTATGCCGAGCGGGAGCAGCTGAACCGCACACCTCACTGACATTGAATACTGGATATTTTAATTTTCTCCATCATCCAGTTCTTTGTCACAAAATAAGCTTAATAATACATCTTCAGTGGTTAAAAACTGCTGTCTTCTCATGGTTGACCTACCAGGCTTACTTGTTGCGTCAGCCATTTTGACTCATGTGCTAGCCACAGGCTTTATGCAGGTTTCACACTGGACGCGCAAGCAGAACAGAGGCAAGCCAGCGCAGAAGCGGCGCGTATGCCGAGCGGGAGCAGCTGAACCGCAGCTTGTGTACTGCAAATACAGACGAGTATCGTTCATTCGGTCACGATTTTCAGGTGTTCTCCGACAACTGTCTGTCATGTTATGAGCTTTGGTTTATGATGTGGGCAGCATACTCTGCTGTGACTCGGCCGTGTTCCCCTCTGTCCCTTTTTATTTTGGGGTAAAAAGCTCCCCTGCTGTTAGGTCTAAAGGCACAATAATTAACATAATAATTAATAGATGGCTGACTTTTCCATTTGTTGACATGACATGTTTGTCAGATGGTAAATATCATTATGTTGGGTGTCAATCTTAGAGATAATCACCATACTTATAATGAAACCATCATATTTAAAAACATGCTAATAATCATATCAGATAATAAAATATAATTTGTTGTTACTACTGTAAATATATATAAAATTAGTATGGTATTTACTTCAGTGCTTTCAGAATCTTTACTTTTTAAAATGATTTTGTTTCTGTATTTTAAAATATATTTTTATATTAACATTTTAATGACAGTATATTTACAAAAAATAATTAATAAGCAGAACAACTTTGCTAAGGTGGTTGTTTTGAACAAGTATTAACTTAGACATTATTTAAAAAACATTATTTTATCTAAAGTATTTGTATCAATACTGTGTGACTGCCTTATGCCCCATGCTTTTTACCCCATGTGGGGTAAAAGACCCCCCTTGCTACCTCATACATTTATACGATTTTTAAACAAAAACCACTTGTATGATTTATTTTCACACAAAATCTGTTGCTCCATACATTTTTTAATACAAATGATATTTTTTCTGAAATCATACATTATGGGCGTAGTGAAAAGCTAATTTTTTTCTTAAGGTGTGCCTTTAGCCCTGTTGTACGGTGTACCCTATTTTGTTTGTTTTTCATATGGTGATTGTGAAATGCGAAACACTTCACTTGCATGATTTAATGGTGAAATGTGCTATTTTTCATGTTAATCAGGTCAATTTTGATCAAGAAAAATTCACTGTGGCTTTAATTTAGCATAAGCGGTGCAGCAAAAATAGACTCTGTGCCGAAACGATCGTGGCACTGCCGCTTCTGCTCTGCTCCTGCTATGTGCTGCCTCTGCATGCGGTGTGAATGCTCTAATCTGTTAACATGGGCGCCGAAAAAATACTGCTTACGCGTGTGGTGTGAAACCGGCGTTACCCTCCATACATTTCTCAATGCCAAAGTGGCTAAAGTGCTGTTATGCCCTTTTGGCTCCAACTGGCTTGGTATTATCAGTGTCAAGTCTTTTGGTTTCTAATGAATAACTCCAAAATGATTATTCACTTATGTCCTTTTGGCAGTAGAAAGAGCTCATCAAGAGCTTCCATTTGATATAGGCTATATATATCTCCATTTCACCCAAAATGTCACTTACGCCCTTCTGGTTCTCACCCCTCGCTATGTATTACCGTTGTTGGTAGGATTTTTTATGTTTTTGAAAGGAGTCTCTTATTCTCACCAAAGTTGCATTTTTCTGAACAAACATACAGTAAAAAAAGAATATTGTAAAATATTACAATTTAAAATAACTGTTTTCTATTTAAATATATCTTAAAATGCAATTTATTCCTGTTATGGCAAGGCTGAATTTTCAGCAGCCAATCTTCACTGTTACTTTAGTTAATCAATGTAATGCATCCTTAATAACCTATTAGTATGTTAAAAAATAAAATTATTTAAGATTAATAAATGCTTTAGAAGTACTTTTAATTGTTAATTCATGTTAACTAATGCAGTTAACTAAGGTTAACAAATGGAAACGCTAGTTACGCATGTAACTGTGATTCTGTGAATTCCGGATGACCACCAGAGGCAGTGTAAACACTATGGATTATCGCAGCGCCAGCTAGATAGGTCGAGAGAATATACCAACAAAGTCACGTAGTGATGTATGCTGAGCCCTGGGGGGTTATAAGCCACCGTAGCTCAGCACTCTGCCTCGTTACGCCTTTCTAGCGCATTCTGAGTGACCAAGAACTCTGGCGGTCATCCGGAATTCACAGAACCACAGTTACATGCATAACTAGCGTTCTGTTTCATTCCTACTAACCGCCAGAGGCAGTGTAAACACTATGGATGACACATACCAACATAGTCATGAGGAATGCCACCCACCTGATGAAAATTAAGGCCGCTCCTGAAGAACCGCAGAACTAACGGCATGGATGAGCAGCAACATTGACTTTATAAAACCAGGCAAACGTGCATGGAGAAGACCAGGTAGTGGCAGTGCAGTTATCCGACAAGGAAACTCCTCTTAAAACAGCTCATGAAGATGAGATGGCCCTAGCGGAATGGCAGGTTAGTCTCAAGGGCAGTGGCCTCTCTGCTGCCTTGTAAGCCAGTGTAATGGTCTCCACTATCCAGTTTGACAATCTCTGCTTCGACACTGGAGCACCTTCCTTCACACCACCATAGTAAACAAATAACTGGTCTGACTGTTGAAATTGAGCAGTAGAGATCACATACCACTTCAAGGCATGTACAGGACACAAAAGTTGGGTACTTGAATCCGACCCTGATGAAGTCTGAAAAGAGACCAGTTCAATGTGCTGGTTTATGAACTGAGGAAGAAGGACTTTCGGAAGAAAAGAAGGATTGGGTCGTAGAACCACCCCGGTATCATCCAGCAACCAACGCAAGCACAATTCATTAACAGACAGCGCGTGCAACTCTTCAAGAACATCCATTTAATGTCAGTGCTTTGCAAGGGCTCAAAATGGGATGAGCAAAGGAATGTAAGCACAAGTGGCAGATCCCACACAGGGAAGTGAGGAGTCAGAGCAGGGTTCAGACGTTGTGCACCCTTCAGAATACTGCAGACAAGACTGTGAGATCCAAGAGAAGATCCACCAACTGGAGCATGATATGCAGCAATCGCAGCGACGTAAACTTTCAACGTGGAAGCTGCCTTGCCCTCCTCCAGTAAATGTTGAAGAAAGTTTAAGATGCTCGGTATGTCACATGTTGCAGGATCAAGCCCCCACTCCCCACACCATGCAGAAAAAAGC